TATATATATACTGTAGTATTTATATGGTTAAATATAAAACATAAAACAGACAGGAGGAAAGGAAATCGACAGATAGAGTTTGTTTGAGCCACATGCTAATAAAATATGCAGACAAAAGTGTTTGCGTTGGAATTATGCTCATGCAAAGTAAACATCACAGATCAGGTCACTTACCTTCTCACCTCTGTCAGCTTTGACAGAGTTTATATTGCCCTGCAAATAATTAATCARTAAGGATCAATTATTATCGAGGCTGGCAGAGAAGCTGAACACATGGAAGGTGTAAAATTTGAAAGGACATGCGTGTGATAAAATATGATAAAATAACGCGGTTGAAGTGGATAAAGTAAGGAGTTCTTGTGTCTTGTTGAGCATTGCTTTTGGTTTTTCTTTACTTTGTGAATGAAGGTTTCACTGTTCTGGGTTTGGGGTCCTCCTTTTCACCTGGTGACTGGCTGGAGTCCTGTTTGGCTTTTCTTGTCTGCTTTGAGAAAATGCACTGAGGGAAACCCTTCATTTACTTAAATTAAATGTAAAGAAAACAAAGTAAATACACTACTTTTATTAAATTTGGTTGACTGAAAACAGCTTACATATTTTTGCTATTAAATCCATTGTATCTATTTTTAGTGTATTCTATAATTTTTCCATTTGTTTTTTTTTTTTTTTTTCAAAATATATCAAAGCATTCAGTTTACGAAGGACCCTCCTGGTGGGTTGATTGATCGATCGATCTATGGATTCATTCATTCATCTRTAAACAATTGACATATTAAACATTTCAGACTAAGTTTCTACCTTGTAAGCACAATGATGTATTGTAAACACGTATGTCACATATAATATTGTASTGCAGCATTATACATATCCACAACTATCAAAGGGAGCCTTATTGTAAAGTGTAAAACTGTACACTRTTTATAAGGCTCCTTCATGACATTTATACACGTTTATTAGTCATTACTGTTTTAAACTTTACAATACGGCTCCCTTTGATAATCATGGATATGTATAATGCAGTAATACAGTACAATATTACATATGAAATATGTGTTTCCATATCATTATTGTGCGTACAAAGTAGTAACCTACACAGTAAAATATTTTATGCAGAGTTAATAAGGTCCACTGTGGTGACAAGTCAACCCTGAATCTCGTGCTTTTCAACACTGCATTAATTAAGTCATTGATGGTTAACACTGGAGGTTCGTAGACCTCCTATGAGTGTTATTTTAACACTCGATTGTGTTGGTTATTTACTCTTTTGCTGTGAAGCACTTTTTTAAAGGGTTTGACCCCTTTAAACAAAGGGTGACTTTGATATTCTTCTAACATAGAAATRTCCACACTGCACTGCTGATGACCTTGTGAGTTCAGTGATGACCCCTRCATGGACCAAATGTTCAACGGCACATTTGTACCATTTGAAGTGGTTCAAGTTCAACTTGCATTAACACTTTAGGAATTAAACATTTAGCCTTTTTTTAACAACAATCATTCCATAATATGTTTTCATGCTTCGATTTAGCAACAATACATGTATCTGTATCCAACTGTTCAATACAGTGCTTTAGGTTCAATACGCACTATGTATCAATACAGATATTTAAAATTTATTTTATCAACTTGTCTTCTGAAGATGCTCTGTGTTGAAGGATCAGTGGATCTGTGTTCGACTACTCCACCTAGGCTGTATTTTTGAGCACAGATCCACTGAGAAACTTGCTGTTTCAGCAAAATTTAATTTAAAAACTGTACTTTTGAGGTTAAACAAATGTTCATAATTAATTCCAATAAATAAAAATTAAGAAGGGCATGGGAATTTATCTTTTTTGTATCGAAAAAATATCGAACCGTAAGACTAAAGACTCGAACCAAATCATGAATTTTCTGTATTGTTGCAGCTCTAATATTTCTCTTATAGAAACACGTTCCTTCAGTTCCTTCAAAAAATGTCCTCTTTAAAACCTGTTTAGCATCCAGGCTCTATTTAGTCATTTTTGACTTCTGGCTTTTAGCTGATGTTCTGTCACTCAAGCTYTGGGCTTACTGCTATGCTTAGGCATCTGCTGCTTTTGGCTCTTTTTAGCTTTTTATCAAGTCTTTTGACACTTGGGCCTAGACATTTGATGCTTCAGAGCTTTTAGTTAGGCTCATGCTACTTTTAGCCAGCCTTTTTCTACCCTTTTTTTGAGGGGTTCTGTGTAATTTTGTACAGCGTCTTGAGCTGCTTTGAAGGGTGCTTTATAAATAAATAAAACTTAAACTTGGACTTCTGGTACTTTTGTTTTTTTGCTAGTCGCTACATTTAGCTAACATTTAGCTCAATTTAGTTTTGCATCATTATTTTGTTTCTTTTAATTATTGTTTTCTGTTCGATTTAGCTCTGACAACTTTTCTTCGCCAAATTTCAGTACTCAGCATTCACTTTGCATTTATTTAGAGGATGCAATTGCTCTAATTTTCAGCGTTCTTTTGATATTAGAAGATACAAACATGTGAATGTGGACAGTTTAAGGTTTCATACAGTTTCTCCTTTTTCCCCTTTGATGCCTGCTGGTCCGATGGCACCTTTAGGGCCAATGTCACCCTGCAAACGGAGGCATATACAGAAAAATAATATAAATCTGACACACGTAAGCCTGTCTAATACACAAAAATATTGCAAAGGTAGATGACCTTTTCACCCTTTGAACCTGCTGCACCAGGTAAACCGACGTCTCCCTGTGAAAAATTAAAGTACATTTGTCTTCTGAAAGCCATTAAAGAAAGGCTTCCTGCTGAAATACTGAACAAACAGACAGAAAATAAACGTGGAGAGGATTTACCTTTTTCCCCTCMGGGCAGGAACAGTTTGTTTCAGGGCCTCTTTTCTGCTCTGCAGCAGTCGGCGTCGGAGTGGGAATTTCCACTGGAGGAGCTTCTGTCACAACTTTCTTAGAGCACTGAAATTACAAAATCTATTTTAAAAAGCTTGAACAATGTACGAGTGTTAAATTCCTCTAACATTTTATTATTTTCGTTTTCTACATGAACTTTACAAACTTTACACTGTATTTCTCTTTAATGTTTATCAGTTAATAAATCTACGGGACTGTTAGCTCTTAGAACAAGGAGCTCCCAACTGTGGCCCTGGAGCCACATGCGGTTCTTCAGTCGTTCTCAATGACTCCTTTTAACTTTAAATAACACAAACCACGGTCAAATTTAACAAAATTAGTACCTTTAAAGAATGACCTGTTTTTTTTAACAACATAGCAGAATCTTCAGCAGAACTACAGTAATGAAACGGACTGGGTTGCTTGTGTGGACTCAGCACTCATATCTTCCCTTTTTTAGAACCAGAATTAGCGTTCCATGAATTAACTTTTCACTAGAATGTGTTTAAAATCGATAAATTATATTGTTAAAAAAAGGTTCAGTAGCTCTTTGTTTTATTTACTCAAATTTCTAACTGATAGTGTAGTCATTCAAATCCACCAGATTAAATGTGCAAAGATCAGAGAGGAAGCTGGACCCAGAAAAGCAGGCAGACTTGGAGGATCAAACAAATTATTTGTTAATGTAACTGCCGTTGTGGCGGTAAAATGAGAGTATAAACATGAGCACACGGGAGGGAGACCAGAGCTGAATCACACAACAAACGGACAATGAAACGGTGATTGAACTGAGTGAGGGATGAGATGAGAATGTAACACACAGGATGAACACCAGAAGGAGACAGACCACAAGACAACAGATCCGAACAGTAAACCACCCCTAACGACTGTCTCCAGACAATGAACCCAAAAACAAAAACATGGGAGGGTTGAGAGGTAAAACCAACAGGACAGAGGGCAAGAGACAAAGACCACAGGGAACACAAGACCGGGAGGAATAAACAGGACAGAAAAAAGTACAAAACTAAATGCAAAGAACCAAAACCGACAGAAAGAACTTGGGAAMAACTAAATCTAACAGTAGTCTTAAGGAGAGACTAGCAACAGGAGTGTTCAGGTGGGCAGGCAAGAGATAGGTCAAGGCAAAAACGGGAACTCAGGAGGCTGGCCAGGGGACAGACTGAAGCGGGGCAGAATCTCTGAAGGACCCAGCTGAGATGAGGTTGGGGCTCTCAAGGTYGACTCGGGGTCCAGTCGAAGCAGAACAGAAACTCAGAAGGGCAGCCCTGGACCTGTCAGGCCAGAATCAAGGGAATCTCTGGGACAGGTGTAGACTCTGGATACTTGGGGACAGGTGTAGACTTGGAGGTAGACTCGGGATACTTGGAGGTAGGCTCTGGAACAATCGGACCCAAGGACTCTGGATCAGTCAGACTCAGGGACTCTGGAACAGTCGTACCCGGGGACTCTGGAACAGTCGGACTCAGGGACTCTGGAACAGTCGTACCCGAGGACTCTGGAACAGTCGAACCCGGGGACTCTGGAACAGTCGAACCCGGGGACTCTGGAACAGTCGAACCCGGGGACTCTGGAACAGTCGAACCCGGACACTCTGGAACAGTCGAACCCG